TTACCTGAGTCAAGAGGTAAGGTGTCCAGTTTTCGTGCTCAGAGCTTTTCCTTCACAGAAGACACACAGTACAAGAGCAATGGGACCATGGCCAGCCAGACACAGAGTCCCCCTCACCTGCCCTGCAAACCCATTGTACAAGGTCTCCACATATACCTAGAAAACGAAATTCCCCTTCCCTTCCAAACGTACCAGCCCTCAAAGCTCCAGCTGCCCTAGTGCTCTACATTAGTGAGAAATTAGAGGAATTAATAGGAATAACATCTGCTGCTCATCTACTTCTGCCCTTCCCCTCATGCAAATGGTGTCTTAAAAATGTCAGTAAGACACTTCTGCTTTTGAATCGCAGAGAAGCAGCCTCAGATACTCTTCGGAAAACAAACCGCTGAGCAAGAAAGGCTATGTGATAGGAGCGAGAACAGCCCAGCGTTTCATACCAGAGCCACAGGTAAGAAAAGCACACTTCAAAGTGTCAAAGCTGCAGCTTTGCAAGAATTTGTAGGCTGTTCTGAACATAGACTATCAGTTTTGATCACATTTGCTCGGGCTGCCTCCAACTTAATATATACAGTAGCTACAGATCTCCTTACACATAGTCTAGTGGGAGGTGTTGAGCCTGGAGACCGATGACTGATCATATGAGAGCTCTAGCAACATCAACACATGCATTTGTATATACACATTCCTTTATATCACACACACACACACATGTAAACGTACACATTGAGGCAAAATGAAGGAGGGAGCTCAGCTAGACTACCTGAACAAACACGCTATTGTTTTCTGGCCCAACTTCTCTAGAATAACAGTACATTAGGAGAGACATCACAGGACACACTGGGTAAGGAGTAGGGAGTGCATAATTGACTTGTTTTGATTTTTTTACACTATCAGAGTAGCCAAAGCGTGCGATCGAACAGCAGGTCTGTAACGCCCAGCTGGCTGCTGATCAGAGCATGTAGGAATGGTTTGCAGAACAAAATCTTCTGTATAGAAATTTTATCTTTTGCAGACTGCGACTCCTGGCCCAGCAACGTACCAGTCATTCTGGAAGGAAGAGAGAAAATGCCAGCCTGCCTATGCTCCATTTTCCATTAAGACACCACGATTTCCAGATAAGCCTTCAGATAAAGAATTTTTCCCTGGGTAATGTAACTCATTTTCTTAGGCTTTTAACAATAAGCAGGAGTACTAGCAGAGAGAAATACCAAGACATAAATCGGAGATAGGTAACTGAGTTCCCAGTAACGATTTTTCATCTTTAAAAAGCTCCCCCGCTTTAGTCTTTAACTTAGCATGATGACTAGAATACCACAACATGCATTTCTCCCATGGATCGAGGTAGGGCTGGTAAATTCCGGTATTACAAACACCATACACCAGCTCCAGAAATGAGATCTTTTGCGCTTGTTTTCTTTAGACCCGGAACTTACGAAGCAGACAAGCCATTACGCAAAAAAATCACTTGGCCGATGAAGTTTGGGTCTCCAGACTGGTCTTTAGTGCCAATGCCAGCAAAGAGGATGCTAAAAATGGAGGTACAGAAGGTAAGGACAGGGCTAAGGGGATGTTATTGCTGGCTTAATGCTTCTGGCAAAGGAAATCGTATGATTACTTCAACACATTTGCACTATGTTTTGTCATCCTTTCCTCACTGGCCTGCTGGGTACGTGGCTCTGCTAGCCTGGGGCACAAGATACAAAGTGATTTTCTGTCAGAAAATGCTGGTTTGCAAAAACAGTTACAGTCCTTCAAAACAAACTTCTATTAAGAAATCTGCTGTGGAAGCTTCCATCCACAAAGTGAGAGTACCAGAGCAGAGACTTCCCCGTGTAGCTCTGCTGAAAAGAAAACCTTTCTGATTTAAAATGTAGGTTGAGGTTCTCGATGCCATCACATATTCCCGCGCTTTTCTGAAGCAATTGTCATTGCTAATATCTAACGGATAATAGTTGTCTTTTAGCTGACGATAGACAGAGAATTCAGGAAGCACCGGGACCGAGTGGCCTACCTGAGTTTATACTACAGCTGAGGAGCCAGGGCCGCCGCCACATGCCCTCCCCTCCCAGCGGGGCAGCTCAGGCCTCACCTCCGCTTCCCACCCACGCGTGGAGACATTCATCTGCGCTACCCAGCCTTTCCAAATAAAACCATTTCAAAAAGAGGCATTTCTTGCCGCTCGTTGTGCTTACCTGGTATCGTGCCAGGTGTCTGCTGCCTCTGCGGGTGTTGGGGTGCCGCTGAGTCCCGCGCACAGCACCCCTCAGTCCTGCTTCCCTCAGACCCTTGGCCCAGGCAGGGCTGGCGGCCATTTTCTCGGGGTCGCCATGGTAACACTTCACCTCATCCTCCCCGACATGGCCGCGGGGGGACTTTTCTCCCCAAAATCCAGCCCTTGCTGGCACCAGAGAGGAGCCAAATGAACGCAGCTAGAGGGCCACCATCTCCTCATCTCCAGCAGACGCTCCAGGCTGGGCCCGGGGCTTCACCCACAGCCTGAGGAGAGCTGAGAAACACGGGGGTGTATGCGGCACAGCCACCCGTACTGCGCTGCCCTCAGGTACGGTGCAGATGGCCCGCAAGACGAACATTTGCATTACGAGCTTTTTCCCTGCTGACACGAGGAAGATCTTCTCAAGCAAGAAGCAAGCAACATGCTGCTAATTAAGAATCTGGCCACAAAAATAAATTTAGGCTGAAACAGAAAGGTGCTGGTATTCATCATCAGTTATTTCTGTAATGTACAACTCAGACCCTAGGGATTTCTATAAATGTTTACAACTTCTCTGTCTGATCACAAGCTTGATTCAATCTCAGGGGAAAACTAAGAGCAGGCAGCATTCATTCTCGGTATAACTACTACTCACAATGCAGGCTTTCAAATTTTCTGGGTCTGTTTAGCTGTTTCTGTAGCAAATTTCACCCGTAGCCCGATTTCAGCGACAAACCCAAAATGCATTCCTCCAGTTTCCAACTTTGGGTCTTCGAGTGCTCTCACATAGGCACGACAGCTGCTCACAACCTGTCTTTTCTAGGCACGCTGGCCCCTTCCCTTCCGACCGCAAGAGTCTGCTTTGCAGTTGCAGCTGTCAAAGAGGGATGTTACTCGCCGATCCGCCGTCGCCCCTTTTGGTGCAATCTTTTGAAGGAGGGGGCACGACTCACTGGAAATTGTACTCTCCCAAGACCTGGGGTTTATGGCTGTTTAAGGCTTCACCTTTCTATTCATGGCTGATACTGCATACTTCACTTCCACCTGTCTTGGTTTTCTAATCAGGGGAAAAATACACGTGTAAGAGGAGATGTAAAAGAAAGAAAGCAGTACCTATGATTCTGCAGTCCTCAACCACATGTTCCACCTGCAATTGCAGAAACCTTCTACTAAAGCTTTTGCAAAACCGATGGTGTTTCAAAAAGCACTTTGTCCTCACTGAACACATTTCTAATGAACCAAAATTTTTGTTGGAAAATTCCCAATGTTCTCAGTTATCGAGTGTTGCTGCAGAGAAAGGAAGAGATGCAGAGGGAAGGACAAGACTTCCGACTGCTTGTAGACCCCACTGAGCACACACTCAGGCTCCATTCAGGTGCTTTTCCACTCCTGAAACTTTAAGGACTCAGTCAGTTTTGCTTGTAGGACATAAAATTTCTTTTATTATGAACATAAAAATGACTATTTTCATTCTACATTTTTCCCCTACCCAGCGAGGGATTTTCTCATTGCGAAAAATGCTTAATCCAAGTAAAAAAAAGATATAAATTTTTATATATACATACATACACAATGTCTCTGTACATTTGTTACTCTGTACAACCAAGGCACCAGCAGAAGTGACAATGGCACATGCAAGACTTTTTTGCTAGAGATGTCATGTCAAATTGTTGTGAATTTGTTCAAATTCACCTCCGTTCTCACTGAAACAATTGCTCCTTTTTATCTGCCTCCTCCCTGGGTGACAGGGGAAGAGGGAGGCTGAGGAGGATGCCTTAACTAAGCAGCGGTGAACGTGTACACACATAACTCTGATCCGCCCAGTGACTGCCACAGATTTCTTGCATTTGGCCACTACTCTAGGAAGCCATGCCTGCCTGGCAGTCTGCAGCAGGCAGTCTTTGCTGCCTCTCCCAGCACATTTTCACCCAGAAGAGATGCTTGGGAGACCGGACCAAACTACAGGAGTCTTTTCTCAAAGACATTTAACTCATATTTTGCCTAAGTAAAGGCTGAATGCAGATTAAAGCAAAGCCCTCCAAAACCAGCTAACAGTTACAATACTCCCATCACCAGTCATTTTCACCGCTGAAATAAAGTCTTCTGCTCTGGGGAAATAAAGGGGGGAAAAAAAGAGCAACTTCTGTTGATAAAAGCCCGTATTTGAGAATGGACAAAATAAAAAAGTGCGATCAATAGCATGGCCTTGCGGATGGCAATCAATACAGCTTTATTCCATAATCCACGTTTTTCAGCACAGCATCTTTCAAAACAGCTGGTGAAGGCGTGAACTCTCAAAGGAGTTGTGCTGTGTTGAAACTAACAATAGAACTGAAAAATAGCCTGCAGCAGCTGTTAAATCTTGCCACTCATACTGCTAAAAAGTAATCTCAAAGCAGAACAGGGTAAACACCACACTTAGCGCTTTTAAGTTAGAAGTGCAGCTGCAGTCAGAAAAGTGAGAATAAAATGCCATCTTAGCTCTGTATTTACACTTCACTCTCTTACCAACACATCAGATGCCTTTAATTTATAAAAGAAAAGTCTGTTTGCTTTTACCTGACAAGAATACAAAGAAAGAAACCTCTCTGGGATTCTTCTGTCTCTGTTAATACATGCTCCTTAGATTATAAGGCCAGGCAAGGTTGATTGCAGAAGTTCCTTTTCTAGCCTGCCAGAGAGCCACAAACGAATTATGCCTTTGTATTCTGTAGACCCTGCTGGGAAGCACCGAGCAGCAAGAACCTTTGTGTCCCCTGTCTCTTCAGAGACTAAATCCTGCCGACATGAGAACAAACCAAAGTAAAGGAGACAATTCCCATCTGTAACCCGGTGGCCTTCAACGCTTTTAAGGCAATTGACCATTGACCGTTCCAAGTCAGCAGGAGAGCAGAGGGCAAAGAGGGAGCATCGCAAACCAGGATGAGAGTGTAGTTTGCTAGGCAGAGAGAGACCGTTCTGCTGCTGCTGCCACTCAGACGGATTGCCTCTCCTATCATGCTCCATGCCTCTCACCCACAGCAGCGGAGGTGAACCCCCCGGTTTCTCTTCCTCTGAGCAGCCAGCTGGCTACATCTCACTTCTTTCTACGGATCTTGGGCTTTTTCACTGGGCGGAGGTAGGGATTGTCTATCACATTTTCCTCCCCGTTCCGACTGCCTGACAGGGAGGTGTTCTGCTGTAACACTGAAGCATTCTCCTTTTCAGGTCCTGAATCATCCTGCCACATTAAAAAAAAAAAAAAAGCATAAACAACCAAAGTTAGGCTAAACAAGGCTTAGAAGTTCAAACCACATAACCTATGGGCAAAACAGACAATCAACAGCCAAGATAAACAGGAGCACACAAGGGGCGGCATTGGAGGGGAGGACTCCTGATTTCTAACACAAGAAGATCCCCTTCGGGAACAGCGGGATTCTAGGACAATCCTCTCTCCCCTAACACTGAAATGAAGGCTGTACTGAAAGCTCGTGATCCAACCTCATTTTGCATTGCACCCTGCAGAAAGTTAGAGAACCATGTCAATGTTTAGTCATTTACACTGGGTAAAACGTAACCCACTCTGCCATTTCCCACCCACTCTGCCCAGCTGCAAGGAAGACAGGCGAAGAACCAGGTTTCGTAAGTTTAAGAAAGTTGGGCCCGAGAGACCTTGATCTCTCTGGCTCGGCGTACCGTGCTCATGTGCAGGGGGAGGTTCTCGGTGTCTGTCTGGTCGTCTTGCTCCGATGAATCTGTTTCTTCCATTTGCTGCATTTCCAGCTCAGAGGGGAGAAGAGCTGTCAGGTAGGGTACGGTGAAAGGCCTGGCAGCAATCACTAGGGTCAAGGAGAAGGACACAGTCAGCCAGCTGGGAAAAGACTCCTCAACTCAGAGATTACGAAGCACAAGCTAACCAGCTACTTAGAGACCAAACACTTTCACTGGTCCTGGTTTTAAACACACGCACTCTTTTCCTGCTGCTCCCAGGGATCAGGAATGAAATCTGCTGTCCCTAAAAGATGGCAGTCTCTAATTTCCTATTTTCTGAGGCCCCTTTATGTTTCCAGCCAAGGACACAGCATTATACTAACACAAAAAATCCTTCCTGACCTCCATAAAAGTTCAATTATCTCACAGGCTGAAGCATCCCTTAGTCCCCCTTAAGGTAACGCTGACATCTGTGCTGTCAGTGAGCCTTGGGAAGGGAGGAATTCTCATCACTTCTTTGCAGACAGAGAAACAGGAAAACCTCCACTGCCTACCACAAAAATATAAGAGAGAAGAAATTACTTGTTCAAAAGTTACAGAGGGGTGGAGACAGGATTGGGATGAGCTTTGAATTTAGCGCCTATCAGCCAAGGCCTTCCCTACCAGCAGAAGAAAGGGAGCCTTTGGTGAGGGTGGAAGCCTACCATTTGGCTTTGATTCTGTTTTTCATCCCCATTTTAAATAGAAAATCCCTCATTTCCCAGCCTTCCAGTGCCTCGGAAGGGCAAACACAATGTGATCCTTCAGTGCTCACCTCCTGCAGTAGCAAGAACTCTAACGGAGTGCATACTTAGTTAGACAGCCGTCATTTACAGCACGAAGTGACCTTGGTAACTCACATGGGAATGTGCTAACGTCATCTTTGAAGAGGCTCTGCGTTTCTCCCGTCTTAGCCATGAAACGTGTGAGAGCTCTTTCTACATCGCGCCGTTGAGATGCTGCCTTTTCCCGTAGGACTTGATAATCAGATACAGGCTCCCGGTATGTCTGTGGAGCAAGGAGGAAAAAAAAGAACACCGTTAGTGGATGCAATGCAGACAGCTGAAGTGCAAAACACTACTAGGATGCAGAGGCTACAGCAGGCATGGACCTTCAACATGCACAGATTTTCAGGCAGCTACTGATGTCAATCAGCCCAAAATCTACAGCAAGGGCAGCCCGCAAACAACAAGCGACATATTAAGCCAGGAGAAACAATGTTTTGGATAAACAGTACCAGCAGTGCAGTAAAAATATTTATACACCACTCCTGGTGTCACTGACTTCAGACAGACCCCAAATGGCGCAGACGTCTTTTTTCACTCACTGGTGTCTTGATGTAAGTGTGAGGATCTGGAAACTCAGGGAAATGGCCAGGAATGTGGGATGGATGTGGCTTGTTCTGTCCAGCTGTCAGGGCCTTGGGAGTCACGGGCTGGTTTGTCACAGGCGCTACAGTTAAAAAAACACACACAAATCAGCCAGCTACATTCTGCCAAGCGTTAGGGATAAGGTGCTAGCTTACACGGAGCTGTGACCCATGTCTCCAGGTCCTATAAAAGGGACAGAGCACATCCCACGAGCAATAATTTCCGAGTGTTTGGCATCCCAAAAGGGAACAAGGATTGCTCAACGCCTCTCTCCTACACAAGGAGAACAAAACCATCTTGAGGATTCTCATGTGTAACGAGGATGCTGAAGCAAAGGCAACTTGGGCAGAGGGTGCCCTCCTTCACCTCTTACACAGTCATTACAGGAATCCTTAACAGAAACTGCGCTTCCAGGAGCACTGGACTGCATCATCCACCAGAAAAGCAGGAGCTCTCTGGATGCCAGCAGAGAGGAATTACGAATAAGAATTCCTGCATAAGAAGAGAAAGGATTTCCCACATACGGGCAGTGATGACCATCCGCTGGGACCGCTTGGCATACGCAGGAAGCGTTTCAACATTGAACCCTGAAACAGAAAAGAGGAAACAGAAATCACACCAAGAGTTTTTCCTGTCAAAAATCCCTTCTCTTAGGCTTCTTCAGATTTTTTCCAAGGGCTCCAAATTACATGAGAAAGAAAACCACACACTCTGTGCATATTCATACTGCATCCGCAGCAGTGATATCCGAGTGCCTGCACGAGGCCCAGAACAGTGGGCGTCACACAAACACCAGAAACATCGGGGACAGATTTTCCTACCAACGCACACACCCAAATCCTCTGCAATGCAGGCAGCTGGAACTAGTGGGACCGGTCAACTACTCACCCATTTCTACTAGAGTAACCATGATATCGGAGAGCGTAGGCTGGGTTCTGGCTGTATGTTCACAGTAGGACTTTGCGCTCCTTCCAATTTCAGAAATATCTGGAGGGAAAAAAACCCAGCACCACATATTCAATTCAGATAGTGACCACACGTGTATCAGCCCAACCCTGGCTTCAGAGACCTGAATTTTTAGCAAATTTAGCAAGGAATGAAAAATAGCTCCTGGAATCCAGTCTCTTACAGCCTGCATAGTTAAAATTAAAGCATGTGCAAAGTATGGAGACACTAAAGATCAGAGAGTCAGATGTTTTCCACAAATGCAAAAGGCAAATCCGCATCACAGGCACGAAAAAATACAAAACCTAATCACCTCTTGATTTCAGAAAAATATGTAAGCTGAGATCCTAGGCACATCCCCCAGAAGAGCAGGAGCAGAGCTGCCAAACACAAGAGCTTCTACAGCCTTAACTAACCCGATGTCTGGAACTTTGTTATTTCTCTGTTTAGCCTGGCAGCATCTCAATATGTGGAGCTTATTAGGATACCTAACGAGTATCTAATGAGTACTCACTGAGTGAGATAAATAAGTACTTCTGAGTTTGGATAAACAGCTCGCGCTCACAGAAGGAAGCGACTGCAGGGCTGTGCTCTAGCCACCGCCTAGCCTTCCGCTTTTGCTAACATCATTAACACAATAAAAATGGGAAAAAAGAAAAGAAAGAGGGAAGGCAGGTTTTCTCTGAAAACAGAGAAACGAGAAACTTCAGGGGATCGCTGTGCCTTTGCTGGACGCTCACAAAGCCGGACACTCACAGCTCTGTAACATCTCCGTCAGCGTCTCCACCGCCGCCTTTTCAGCGCTCTCGAAGCCGGCTTCGGTGAGCAAGGAGCTGACCACCACCTGCAGGGTCCTCCTCCGAGCCAGGTAGTAGTTATCCGCCGGCGTGCTTGCGTGCTTGTTGCCCGACCTCTGCGGACGCAGACCCCCGTCCCGACATGAAGCCACCGGCATGAAGCCACACACACAGATCTATACACGTACATCTACACACACACAGATCTATATACATCTACACACACACACATATATACACACGCACACAGATCTATACATATACATCTACACACATACACACACACACAGATCTATACACATACATCTACATGCACACAGATCTATATACATCTACACACACACATATACATACACAGATCTATATACATCTACACACACATACACATGCACAGATCTATACCTATACATCTACGCACACACACAGATCTATATACATCTACACACTCATACATACACACGCACACAGATCTATACACATACATCTGCACACACATACACACACAGATCTATACATATACATCTACACCCACATACACACACACACACACACACACACACATACATACATACATACATACATACATACATACATACATACATACATACATACATACATACATACATACATACATACATACATACATACATACATACATACATACATACATACATACATACATACATACATACATACATATAGACACGGTGCTGCAGGCACCACCCAACGCGCCCTTTGGGGCGCGGCCCCTTTAAAAAACCCGCCCCGCGCGCAGCCCCGCCTCCCTGCCCCCTCCGCCGCCCAATCCGAGC